AAGACTCGGTTCAAACAACTTTCGCTTAACTTATGATTCGTTGACTTAATAGCCATAGTATTACTGTTCATGAAAAAAGTTGTTTTCTTTTACTCTTTCTTTTTAATTTATTCACCAAATAATAAAAATTTTCTATTAAGAGAAAACCCAAACTTTTTTGGAGCAAAATATTTTTAAGTTGTTTTCTTTTATTCTTTAATTAAATTGCAAATTTCTTTTTTTGTAAGAAATCTCAATACATAAAAAATAAAGTGATTTTTTATATTTATTTTTGACGAATTATCAAATCATTTATCATTTTATATCATTTACAAGTTAGTATTAAACTTCACTTATCATACACTCTATTTTTAATCTCTTATGGAAAGCAATGACTTAATACTCATTACTACTTAAGAACTAAACATTAAGCAATAACTATTGCCATAAATTCCTACATATTTTTGAAAAGTTGTTTTATAGGTATAGGAATTCCCCATCAATTAATCCCTCAGCCTCTCAACCCCTTAACCCTATGATTTCCTAACCTCTTGTTTCACTTACAATTTTTTATGATTTAATTCCAAGTTTTATTGCATAATATTTTTAAATTATTTCATTATTATACAGAATATGTATACATTTATCATTTTATTTTTATTAAATATTCTCCATATTATTGATTGATTATATGACAAAATAATATTTTTACTAAACTACTAAAAAATTTCCATCTAATTCAAGATCACCATTGTATTTAAATTTATACAATTGTATGAAAAATGAAATTAGATTAAAATCTAATTATTTTTGAATAATAATTTATTATGATTTCTATTGACAAATGATTATTTAAACAATATTTCAAAGAATAAACCAATTGTTTAAACATAATATTCAAAGATCTGTCCAATGATTACAGAATTGTATATAAAGTGCGGTAAATCTGCTCCAAAACTACAATTGTTTCCCAATTCTACTGAACATTAACAACAAAAATGAATCAAATTTTATTGATTTCTTTAACAGTTCTGTTGGCAATTGTGGTGACCTATGAGTGCGGAACCACTACTCCTGAGTCCAACTCCGATGAGAAGGCATCCAATTCTAGCTCATCGATGAAGCAATTCATTGGCGGCCGCAAGAAGAGGGAAACCATGAGACGACCCGTACGTCCCGTTCCCATGCGTGACGACGACGACGATGACGACGACTTCCGCAAGAAGAGAGAATTAGGTGTTCCTCTGGTCGACAATCTGGTCAGTGGTCTCGGCGGCGCCTCCAAAGCCCTCGGTATATAAGGCACCCATACATCCATTGCATGGATTAATCCTTTCTTGAACAATTACTGTATTCAATAAAATTATGCTAATAAAATAACCCTGTTGCAATTCTTATATCAAATGTATTTCTGTAAATTTTATGTACTTTTTTGTTAAGTTATAAAGTTTTTGCATTAAATCAATACAAAGTAGGTTTGGTTTTTAAAAAGTATTCACATATGATATAAATATTCAATTCAAATGACAATCATTTACTTCAGAGGAATAACCAAATTCTGTGGATTGGGTGATAATTTGCAAATTAATAGCTCCCCCTAATCCCTAATCCCTAATCCCTAATGCCCACCCCATTACCCATAGTGTAGTTCACTGTGACTACTGTATGGACACGTGATTCACACGTTTATGACATCAACTGAAATCAGTGTATGTTTTGTGTGTCTCACACAAAGGCTAACCATTTGTTGTCATTTGATAATCACTTGCAGTGAATCCAAGCCATCGAGTGGTCGTTTGTCCGCACAATCACTCAGACATGAAGTATAAGTCAAAGGCAACCAAATTGGCCACAAGTAAGAGCCATAAGAGCCGCACCAACACTAAGCACCTGTAGTTTATTGCATAACATGTGTGTTGTCTTCATGTCTAATATCATGTCTATTATCTGCAGAAACAATGGCAAAGGAGTGAAGAAACAAATGACCACTGAGTCCAAGCATTGGAAGAAATCTATTATCGATAAATATGTGGACGAATTGCACTCCAGAGGAATGACTTCGGATCAGATTGACAAGGAGTCACAGATAATGGTTTGGTTGTTCCACACCACTGATGGTCAACACACCGATGACCCGTTCATTGAAGACATATCTGATGTGGACATCGATGAGTACATCAGATAAGACATGGTGTCATATATGAGACAATTGTCGATCACTAATCAATGTTTGTCTCAAGACTTGCATTGCTATTACAGTAATGCATATAAATGTTAAAACATTTGTTTAATTTTAGTGTGTACATCAGATAAGACATGGTGTCATATATGAGACAATTGTCGATCACTAATCAATGTTTGTCTCAAGACTTGCATTGCTATTACAGTAATGCATATAAATGTTAAAACATTTGTTTAATTTTAGTGTTTAATTGTAATTAAGATTTTGTATAATTGACCAAAAATACTGTAAATATCTTATAAATATGTTTTTATTTGTTTAATAATTGTATTATTATTATTGAAACAACGGTTTGTTTCACGAATTATATCTTAACAATAAGAAAGTCATTCATAAAACTAACTCTTATTTAGACTCAAATTTAAATCAAATTTAGTTTTTCGGTATCGTTTCATATCTCAAACCACTTTCAATCGACTCAAATGTCTGTCAAATCTGTCATATTGTCTGTGATTACAATCCATTTGATTTGTATCCCAAGATTTGCATCGACTGGCGAACCATTGCCTAACTTTTGTAAAGAGAAACAATTGGATTCAGTATATAATGATCACAATAATGATATCCAAATGGTTAGAAAAGATTGGATTTGGATTTACAAAGAAAATGAAAACAAAGTGAATCCAGCGATCAAATCAGACCCAACACTGATGTATAGAGTGCACAGCAGTGCCTATATATCATCGGTTCCCAAATGCTTTCAAGAGACACATCCATTCTGTAAAGACATCCAAAGGACTAAGGATATGATTATTATATTATATATGCCGAGGGATGAAGATTTTATTGGCGCCTATCGGGTGCAGAGGGTGATCGACAACACTATCACTAATGTGGCCGAAGGCTCGCTTCCATTTGGTCTTCAAGGGAACGGTACGTTGTTTTCATCAGAGAATCAATCCTTTTGGCCAAAAGAGTTGTCCAGAGATGCGGACAAATTGAGCAAAAGTCACACATTTATCG